GAGAGACACAGGGAAAGAGAGATCTACCATCCACTGGTTCACTCCCCAGATGGCCTCATCAAGAGCCAAGGCTGGGCTGAGCTGAGTCAGGAGCCTGGAACTCTATCTGGGTCTCCCATGAGGGTGGCAGGGGCCCAAGTACTTGCGAAATCTGCTGCAGCTTTCCAGATGGATTAGCAGGGACCTGGATGGTAAGCAGAGCAGCTGGAAGCTGAACCCGTGCTCCAGTAGAGGAAACCAGCATTGTAAGTGGCAGTTTAATCTGCTGTGTCACAATGCTGACCTCTGTGTTCTGTTTCTATAGTTCTCAATTGGAGAGATTTTATCCCACCCCAGGGAGACTTGGCAAGGTCTGGAGACAGTTTCGGTTGTCACAAGTTGTAGGATATTGTGGTATCTGGTGGGTAGAGGTTGAGGGTGCTGCTAACCATCTCACAATGCACAGGACAACTGCCTATAACAAAGAATTATCCCATCTAGCATGTCAAAAATGCTGAGGTGAGAAGTCATGTTCTATGTGTGTGTATATATGTATATATATATATATATGTTTTTACTTGCAAAAATTTATTTACTTGAGAAGCAGAAAGAGAGAGAATGAACTCTCAGCTAGTGATTCACTCCTCAAACGCCCACAACAGCCCTGAATGGAACCAGGAACCAGGAACCAGGAACTCAATCCAAGTCTCCCACATAGGTGGCAGGAACCCAACTGCTTAAGCCATCGTCACTGCCTCCCAGGGCCTGAATTAGCAGGAAACTGAAGTCAGTATCTGAAGCTGGGAATCAAACCCAGACACTATCTGGGTTGCAGACATCTTAACCACTAGGCTAAATTCCCACCCCTCCTGTTTTTTTTTTTTTTTTTTTTTGTTTGTTTTTGTTTTTGTTTTTGTTTTTTGACAGGCAGAGTGGATAGTGTGAGAGAGAGACAGAGATAAAGGTCTTCATTTTGCCATTGGTTCACCCTCCAATGGCCGCCACGGCTGGCGCGCTGTGGCTGGCGCACCACGCTGATCCGATGGCAGGAGCCAGGTGCTTCTCCTGGTCTTCCATGGGTGCAGGGCCCAAGGACTTGGGCCATCCTCCACTGCACTCCCGGGCCACAGCAGAGAGCTGGCCTGGAAGAGTGGCAACCAGGACAGAATCCAGCGCCCCGACCGGGACTAGAACCCGGTGTGCCGGTGCCGCTAGGTGGAGGATTAGTCTATTGAGCCGCGACGCCGGCCTTGTGTTCTGTTTTAACTCTTATCTGAAGAATCTGCTCCAGGCCAGAATTCCATGTGTGATCTTTTTGAGTTGTGACCACAAAGGTGTTATTTGGCAAGCCTCACAAGGATTGAGGTGGGGAGCTGCCACCCCCCACCATGCTAGACTTGGAGCACAGCTAACCCCAAGCAATGGGTCCACCCCACCTATGTGCTCCCCTCAAAACCCAAACAGCAAGAGCTGTGTCTTCTGAGAAAGAGAATTTTTTTTTGACAGGATGCCAAGGAGATGGGAGAAAAACCCAAACTGATCCCCCTGTTCAAAGGGAATTTGGGAATTTATGAAGTTTGGGGAAATGGGACATAACTGGGTGACACTAGGTGTTATATAGGTGAAAATGGATATAGAGAGTCCTTTGAACATGCACATTAGGAGATCATGCTTCTACATGCATACGTTTATATGTTCAGAGATGGCTGCTGAACCTTCCTTGAGGATCATGATGAACTGTAAAGTGACTCTGGTCCATGTGAGTCCACCTGCAGACTCCAGTCACAATTTTGGCCACAGCTGGTTCTGTCCTTGTTTTATCGGGGAGCCTACAAAGCTAATCAGGGCCAGCATTGTAAGCCACAGCTTTGACTTCCAAATGGAAGTGCTGGTTTCATGTTCCTGTTCAAGCTTCTCCTCTTCTGATCCAGCTTCCTGCTAGTGTGCCTGGGAAAGCAGCAAAAGATGCCCAGTGCTTGGACCCCAGTCACCCTTGTGGGAGACTCAGATGGAGTTTCTGGATTCTGGCTTAAGCTGGGCCAGCCCTGTCTGTTGCAGCCATTTGGGGAGTGAACCAGTGAAAGGAAGATAACTCTTCCCCCCACATACACCCTTTTTCTTCTCTTGCATTCTCTTGGAACAAAAAAAAAAAAAAGATGGCCCAGCAGATTTTTAACAATGATAACTATTATGGGATATTAAGTTACCATGCACCAGGTGGCCAAATGGCTAGCATGGGTTGTTAGTATAACAGGCAGCTAAGGGAGGCCTGCTGTTAGACAAAGGGCAGAGGGCTACTTTCTTATCCAGTTTCTCAGTGGATGCACTGCAGTTTGCAGGAGTTGCAGGCAGAAGACCCATATTCGGCACCCCCGCTCCAGTCAGTCATCAGTGCGTCTGCACATCTAGCCCAGGCACCTCGGTAAACATGCACCATCATAGAACTGCCCCAGGTGAGAACCTTCTTACCTGGGGAGGCTGACGGACACCTCCCCAACTGACTCAGTGCCCCGTACTTTTCCACTCCTGTCCTTCCCTTCCTTCAGGCCCTCAGGTCCCGGCAGCCCAGCTCACTCCCACTCAGCTCTAGGCATAGTCACACTATGCAAATATTTGCTTTTCTTTGTCTTCGAATCCAGTAGGTCCTTCATGAATTCAGAATTGAGTGAATGAAAGCATGTCTCGACAAGCCCGAGGGAGCTCATTAATGGTGGATAATGGACTATAACAAGCGAAAATGTACTTGGTGTGATGGTAAACGCCTGCATTTAGGTGTAACGCAGGAACTGAAGAAGTGCGGAACGGGAGTGCGGGGTTGACCAGTCAGTCTAGGAATCAGCAGTGTATCAGCTCTGATGTCTCGAAGCACGTGGCATATTATCTGTCATCCTGATACTGATTGGCTTATTAATATTTCCCTAAATTAATAAGGTGTGTGGGTTCTTGCCATGAATTCAGACAACAATTCTGAATACTGGCTCAAATAGACCAGGCAGCATGGTAAGTTTTTAAGCTTTTTACTCAGTGAGAGAAATGCATAGGAGAGTGAGGGCTTTAAGGGAGAAAGGAAAGTCCGGAAATTAAGTTGGGGCCATACCAAGCAGAGAGCAGGTCAAGAGCCACATGCAGCAAGCCTTTGGTTAAGAGCAGTTACCACTAGCAGCTTATCATGGACAACAAAGCGAAGGCAGAGAGCACAGAAGGCAGAGAGTGCAGGTGCTCCAAAGGCCACGTGCCCCAAAGGCGCAGGGCAACAACAGCAACTAAAGTCCATAATGGCGAAAAAGGGGAAAAAAGGCCTGGGCCCACCATGCTCCATTCCTTTTATCCACTTTCAAAGGGGAGTGGTGATGTAGCTGGATTGGCAGGTGGGCATACAGGTGGGGTCAGGTAGGGGCATGATATCACACAGGGGGTGCGGTGAAGGCGTGGTCCCCAGCTTCCAAACCTAATTGAATTTTATCCTATATGCTTGTCTATATCAATCCAAGAAGATTCATGTTCAGTTCCAGGCATGCTCTAAAGAGTTCATATATAAATATATGGCTGAATGTATTTAAATATACAGTCATGGAACTAACGTTGTAGCATAGCAGGTTAAGTCGATGCCTGAAATGCCAGGCATCCCATGAGAGTGCCAATTTGAATCCTGGCTGCTCCACTTCCAGTCAAGCTCCCTGCTAATGCACCTGGAAAGACATCAGAAGATGGCCTAAGTGCTTGGGCCCCTGTTACCCATATGGGAGACCCAGGCTCCTGGTTTGTGGCCATTTAGGGAGTGAATCAATGGATTTCAGAAGATCTATGTGTCTCTTCCTCTCTCTGTAACTCTGCCTTTCAAATAAATAAGTAAATCTTAAAAAAAAATACATACAGTCATGTACAGAAAAAAAATCCTCCAAGGAGAGCATGGACTGAAACAGCCAGCTGCTGTTTTCCCATTTTCCCTCCCAGAGGTGACTGCCACTGACGCCATTCTTTGGAAGGAGTGCTGATGGATGAGAACAGCTCCAAGGGAGTGACTGAGTGGATTAGGCACTTATCTTGGAAAAGGAAAGATCTAGCTGTGGTGAAGAGTCAGGTGACATAACCTGTTCTCAGGAAAAGGGGGCAGAACAGGGGGCATTTGCTGTGACACCCTTCCCAAGCCTCAGCCTCATTTTCTGTTCATAAGGGTTATCTCTGTTTCTAAAGGAGTCCCCACTCCCACCCCTAATTGAGTAAGGTGAGCACTACTCACTAATTCTGAATCTACCCTTGGGCCAGGATTGTCTACCTGACTCCTATGACTAAAAATAGAAAAGTACAGTGAGGCAGGGCATTGCTCAAGATCTGGAAATTCTCCCAGATTCCTGTTCAAAGGTGGGGTGAGCTGCAGAAGGCTGGCGAGCCCGCACCGGCAGCCTTCAAGTAGAGGCTGATGCCTGCCTGCAGGTATGGGAGGAGAAACTGGCCACCTCCTCCAGCTCTAGGAATCTACAGCTCTAAGCTAAGCTATAGAGCAAGGAGAAGCTATGCTCTAGCTGTTGTGAGAGTTGGCATCCCAAGTCCAGACACGTTTGTTAGCTGGGTTTAAGTTGCTCTAGTACAATAAAATAATTCAAATACACTTTCATATGTATTCTGTATTTCCGAATGGCCTTTTATCAAACAAGTAGGAAGCTATTAATTTTAATTTGCAATAGATTTCTCATTGATTATTCCTAGGGGCAGGGGTGGTTTTGTCTAGTGTCTGAGACTCCACTTAAGACACCACATCCCATATCAGATACCTGGGTTCAGTTCCCAGCTCTGGCTCCTGATTCCAGTTTCCTGCTAATGCAGACACTGGGAGGCAGAGGTGAGTGGTGATGACTCTAACAGTTGAATTCTTGCCTCCTACATGGGAGACTTGTATTATGTTGCCAGCTCTTGGCTTCAACCCAGCCAAGCCTCAGCTGTTGCAGGCATTTGGGGAGTCAACCATGGATAGGAGCTCGCTCTCTGCCTCTCAAATATTTTAAAAACAATATTTACTTAGGGGGGGCATGTGTTTGGCACAGCAGTTAAGTCGCCTCTTGGGAGGTCTGCATTCCATTTTCGGTCTGCTGGTTAGTCTCAGCTACTCTGCTTCCCATCCAGGTTCCTGCTAATGCATCATGGGAGGGGGTAAATGATGACTCAAGTCGTTGCCACCCAACATGAGACCTGGGTGGGTTTCCAGGCTCCGGGCTCAAGCCCTGGCCATTTCAGCCATATGAGGAGTAAATCAGCAGGAAGGAGATCTATGTAAGTCCGTCTCTCTCTGCCTTCAAAAGGAGTAAACGATTTTTAAAAAAAATTAAAAGTGTTTATTCAATTACCCCTAATCTCCTACTCCTCTAGCCATACTCTTGGACACTGGATTCCTTGCCTCAAAATAGCCCAGAAGCGGTCTTTTGCTCTTCTTTCTGTAAATTTTCCTATGCCGTGAGAAGTAGCAACCCCATACCACTACCCTGTCATCATCAAAGCTGCCGTTAACAGTCGAGTGCGGCTTCGTGGTCCTCCACGCTCATCAGTAGACACTTGGTCACCACGAACCACTAGTTTGACGAACGGTGGTGACAGCCACGTGCTCTGCATTCCTCTTCAGGGTTGAGCGGGCTCACCCAAGATGCTTGGGAGGAGGGGCGCCAGCATGCCTCGAGGCGCGCAAGGCAACCTGGGAGTGGTAGTTCTGGACTCCCGGTACGCGGTAGAGGCGGCTCCGGCTCAGCGGTTCCTGTGAGGTTACGCAGAGGCGGGAAAGAGGGCACACGGAAGGTAGGAGGGTGAGTTCCCAACTGTGTTACGCGAGGAGGGGCCGAGGCTGCGCGCTCAGTGCTGAACTGGAGGATGGGCCCGCACCTCAGTGTCTTCGGAGACGTTGCTGTCCTGGTGTCAGCGAGGGAAGGGTGAGGCGACGCCGGAGTCGCGTCCCAGCAGCTCGCTCTCTCTCTCTCTCTCTCTCTCTCGATCTCACCCCCCACCCCCCACCTCAGAGCTCCGCCGCCATCTCCACCATGCAGTCCAGGGAAGACGCTCCGCGTTCTCGCGGCCTCGCCAGCCCCAGGGTGGGAGGGGGCCCGAGAAGTTTGAGAAGCGCACAGTTTCAGCTTTCTTAAGAGGGCCCCAGGAATTGCAGGACTCAGCCCATTCTGCAGCCCCGCTGGCACAGCTCAGGTCGTTCTGTGACTCGCGGCTGCTGTGCGATGTGACCACCGAGGTGGTGTCGCCCGGCTGCGGGCCTGGCAGCGGGCGCCTGTTCCCCTGCAACCGCAACATGCTGGCCACCTCGTGCCCCTACTTCCAGAGCATGTTCACGGGCGGCACGTGCGAGAGCCAGCAGGCCAGTGTGACCATGCACGGCGTGGACGCCGAGTCCTTCGAGGCCCTGTTAGAGTACTGCTACACGGGCTGTGTGTCCCTGAGTGAGGCCAATGCGCAGGGCCTCTTCGCCTCCTCTGACGTGCTGCAGCTCGAGTATGTGCGGGAGGCCTCTGCCTCCTTCTTAGCCTTAGTCTTGATCTGGCCAACTGCACGGCCATCTTCAAGTTTGCTAATACCTTTGGCCACGCCAAGCTGAGATCTCAGGCCCAGTCCTTTATAGCTCACGACTTCAAGCAGCTCAGCCGGATGGGTTCAGTTCCTGAGGAGACTAGCAGATCGGACCCTAGCCCAGCTGCTGGCCATCCTGGGCCTAGATAGTCTGAACACAGAGAGCGAGCAGGTGGTGGGCCATGTGGCCCTGAAGTGGATAGAAGCTGGCCCCAAAGAGCGGGGTCCCAGTGCTGTGGAAGTCTTCAAGTGCGTCCGCTGGACACTGTTTACCAAAGATGAACAGGACTACCTGGAAGGGCTGCTGGCCAAGCCCACTGTGAAGAAGTACTGCCTGGACGTTATTGTGAAGGCCTTGTGGATGCGCTACGGTGACATGCCAGATGTCTCTGGTGCCGATGCCAGACAGCACCAGCAATGCCAGCAGCTCTGTTGTATCTGCAGGAGAAAATCCCCTCCAGAGGCTGGGTGTGTGTGCCAAGGAGATGGTGATCTTATTTGGACGTCCCAAAGATCCCTTTATCTGTTGTGACCGTACTCTGGGGATATTTACAAAGTGCCCTCACCTTTGACCTGCCTTGCTCTTACTGGGGCTGTCGTGACTTTTACTGTTTGTATCTCTCCAGATCATGATATCTATCTAGCTGCCCAGTCCAGGAAGGAACTCTGGGTGTACACACCGGCCCAAAATAGTTGGCAGCAACTTCCAGACCACTTGCTGTGTCATGAGGGTATGACTATCACATATCTCCGTGGCTATATTTACATTTTGGGTGGGCGAGACCCTATTACTGGAGTTAAATTGAAGAAAGTGGAGTGTTACAGTGTTCAGCCAATGGGTATTAGTGGCCTCACTACCTCATTCTTTTATGTCTTTTGACCTAATCATATCTCGAAACTCTCTATACCCTCAACAGTAAGCGCATGTATCATTACGATCCTAGCCACAATGTGAGGCTGAAGTGTCTTTTTTGACAGGCAGAGTGGACAGTGAGAGAGAGAGACAGGTCTTCTTTCTGCCGTTGGTTCACCCTCCAGTGGCCGCCGCGGCTGGCACGCTGCAGCCGGCGCACCGCTCTGATCCGATGGCAGGAGCCAGGTACTTATCCTGGTCTCCCATGGGGTGCAGGGCCCAAGTACTTGGGCCATCCTCCACTGTACTCCCTAGCCACAGCAGAGAGCTGGCCTGGAAGAGGGGCAACCGGGACAGAATCCAGCGCCCTGACTGGGACTAGAACCTGGTGTGCTGGTGCCGCAAGGCGGAGGATTAGCCTAGTGAGCCATGGCGCTGGCTTGAAGTGTCTTTCTGTTAAGCGCAGTAACTTTCACGAAGCATGTGTCTTCAATGATGAGATCTATTGTATCTGTGACTTACCAGTCATGAAGATTTACAACCCATTCAGAGCACATTGGAGGCAGATTAATAATATTCCCATGGTGGCAGAGACCAACAACCACAGGATTATCAGCCATGGTCAAAAATTGTTGCTTATCACCTCCCGCAACTCAGGATGGAAAAAGAACCAAGTGACTGTGTATGAATATGATACTACAGAAGACCGATGGATAAATATAGGCACTCCGTTAGGCCTCTTGCAGTTCGACTCTTACTTTTTTTGCCTCTCAGCTCAGGTTTATCCTTGCTGCCTTGAGCCTGGTCAGAGTTTCCTCACTGAAGAGGATGATATACCAAGTGAATCTAGTACTGAATGGGACTCGGGTGGATTCAATGAGCTGGGCTCTGAGCCAAGTAGTTCAAGTTCTATGGCTGATGAAGATTTGTGGGTGTATTGAAACGCACAAGCTCAGCAGGGTTTGTTATAACAACATTGAGACACCAGGTGTTTTTACTGCTGTGGATGGAAAGTATCTTAAAGGGAAAACATTTCCTACAGGGCAGGCAGGAGTTAATTAACTGCAGGTTTGGTTTAGAACAGGGTCATGCTTGAAATACTAATGTAACTTTATGTTACAAAATTTTAGCAGTCAGAGGAATCAACCTGTTTAGTAGTTTACTCTAAGAGTCCAGTGTTGATTTCCTTGTTTGCTAACAGTTGTGCTTTATTATAGTAATTTAGTGTTCCAGTAAATTTTACATTGTTTTGTGCCACAGGCACTGTAACTTTTACATCCAGTTTTTAGGGGTTGGTGCTGTGGCATAGTGGGTAAAGCCGCTGCCTGCAGCTCCAGCATCCCATTTGGGCGCCAGTTCGAGTCCCAGCCGCTCCACTTCCCATCCAGCTCTCTGCTAATGCTCCTCAGAAAGCAGTGGAAGATGGCTGAAGTCCTTGGGCCCCTATACCCATGTGGGAGACCCAGAAGAAACTCCTGGCTCCTGGGTTCAGATTGGCCCAGCTCCAGCCATTGTGGCCATTTGGGGAGTAAACCAGCAGATGGAAGATCTCTCTCTAACTGTGCTTTTCCTATAAATTTCATCAGGAGCCAGGAGCTTCTTCTGGGTCTCCCTTGTGGGTGGCAGGGGCCAGAGTACTTGGGCCATCTTCCACTGCTTTCCCCGACCATAAGCAGGGAGCTGGATTGGAAGTAGAGCAGCCAGGACTCAAACCATTGCCCAAATTGAATGCTAGCTGCGCAAGCAGAGGCTTAACCTGCTATGCCACAGCGCCTGCCTCCCAATACACACCTCATACATATTGTGTGAAGGTTGTTTGATACAATATTTTAAATAATTTTGTGCATGAAACAGAGTTGTGGTATAAAATTTTCCGCTTGTGGTATTGTGTTGTGCTCAAAAAGTTTCAGAATTTGGAGCACTTCAATTTTAGATTTTCAGATTAGGGATGCTCAACCTGTATTCTTTTTCCTGCCAGCAGGAGCTTAGCCCTGTGGTCAAGGCCAAAGACACATCCATGTCAATCCTGTAATGTAATGTTTGAGAGTGTTTCCTTGGTCTACTCACACCAGTATGACAAAAGTCATGGTTCAGTCAAGAAAATAGAAATAACTCTCAGCATTTCAACAGAATTTAATTTAAAAAATTGAGTGAGCAGGCAAAAAATAGAAGCAGCAAATATAGCAAACTTAGAAGCAGCTATCAAGGTTAGCGGTGGGGAAACAGAGGGTGGGGTTGGGATGTCAGAACCCCAAAGGTGGGAGGAGGAGTGTTACAGAACTGGGAACCAGATCTTAGGCAAGGGCACCACTGTGCCTGTCCCAGAAGGCTAAGACAGGGGGACCTCCAGGAAACAGGAAACGGTGCCGTGTAGCTGGGGTTGTAACCTCTACAAGACACAGTGAGGCTGCTCCAGCTGTGGAGCCAAAGGGTGCTAACAAGCAGCTTGTTCTCTTCTAGCCCTCCCACCCCATCCCGTCTCTTTCCAGCACTCATAGTGCTGGATCCTAACAGGGAACCAGCTGGCCAAAGAGAAGTGTACTTGTGGAGTCAGCCTAAGCATCAGATTGCAGAGTACAGAAGGGTGGGGTTGAGTTGAGCGGATCTGAGCGGATCACTTACCAACCAGCACTCTAGCCCTCCTGCAGGAGGTTTGTGCTCCTCAGGGTTGCTGACGTAGTCCTTCCTGACCCTGCTGGCCTCTTCCTCTCTTTGAAGAAGCCTCTTTCCTGTATCTTAAGTAGAACAAGTGATGCCTTCCTTATTTTACTCCATGGCACCTGCTCAGGTGCTGTGAAAGCACTGGAAACACCTTATTTATTGATTAGCACATCTGTTTTGCACTACTAATTCCTAAGCCTATTGCCGCATCTCCAAAACCAGCTGAGTCACTTCTTAGTATCCACAGGGGATTGGTTCCAGGACCCTCTGCAGATAGAAGAATCTGGGAATGTTCAAGTCCCTTCTATGAAGTGACGCTGATATTTGCATATAACATATGCACATTACCTATATACTTTAAAGAGAAAGGTTTTTTTAATACTTATTTTCATTTACTTTAAAGGTAGAGTGACACAACAAGAAAGATAGACACACAGAGCCAGAGAGAGAGAGTTTCCATTTGCTGGTTCACTTCTCAAATGTCAGGGATAGGCCAGGCCAAAGCAAGGAGCCTAGAGCTCTATCCAGGTCTCCTATGTAGGTAGTAGGGGCCCAGGGACTTGAACCATCATCTGCTGCCTCCCAGGATGCATTAGCAGGAAACTGTATTAGAAGTGAAGTAGCTGGGACAAAAACTGACACTCTAACATAAAGTGTGAGCTTCCCAAGCAGAGGCTTAAACATGTCGCCCCACAATACCCACCCCTACCCTGGATGCTT